AAACTACTGGCAAACTGAATCCAAGAGCACATCAAAAAACTTCTCCATCATGATCAAGTCGGCTTAATCCCTGGCATGCAATGCTGATTCAACATACACAAATCAATAAACATAACCCATCATCATATAAACAGAACCAAAGACGAAAACCACATGATTATCTCCATGGATACAGAGAAGGCCTTCAACAAAATTCAACAGCCCTTGATGCTAAAAACTCCCAATAAACTAGGTATCAGTGAAACATATCTTAATAAGAGCTGTTTATGACAAACCCACAGCTAATATCATACTGAATGGGCAAAAACTGGAAGTGTTCCCTTTGAAAACTGGCAAAAGACAAGGATGCCCTCTCTCACCACTCCTATTCAACATACTACTGGAAGTTCTAGCCAGGGCAATCAGGCAAGAAAAAGAAATAAAGGATATTCAGTTATGAAAAGAGAAGTCAAACTGCCTCTATTTGCAGACGACATGATTGTATATTAAGAAGACCTATCGTATCAGTCCAAAATCTCCTTAAGGTAATAAGCAACTTCAGCAAAGTCTCAGGATACAAAATCAATGTGAAAAACTCACAAGTATTCCTATACCCCAGTCATGGACAGAGCATCAAATCATGAGTAAACTCCCATTCACAGCTGCTACAAAGAGAATAAAATACCTAGGAATACAACTTACAAGGCATGTGAAGGACCTTTTAACCACTGCTTAAGGAAGTAAGAGAGAACACAAACAGATAGAAAAACATTCCATGCTCATGGTTAGGGAGAAACAGTATCATGAAAAGTGGCCATATACTGCCCAAAGTAATTATAGATTCAGTGCTATCCCCATCAAGCTACCATTGACATTCTTCACAGAATTGGAAAAAAAAAACACCTTAAACTTCATATGGAACCAAAAAGGAGCCTGCATATCCAAGATAATCCTAAGGAAAAAAAAATCAAGCTGGAGGCATCATGCTACCTGACTTTAAACTATACTATAAGGCTACAGTAATCAAAACAGCATGGTACTGGTACCAAAACAGAGATATAGACCAATGGGAAAGAACAGAGGCCTCAGAAATAATGCCACACATCTACAACTATCTGATCTTTGACAAACCTGACAAAAGCAAGCAATGGGGGAAAGGATTTCCTGTTTAATAAATGGTGTTGGGAAAACTGGCTAGTCATATGCAGAAAGCTAAAACTAGATCCCTTTCTTACACCTTATACAAAAATTAACTACAGATGGATTAAAGATTTAAACCTAATACCTAACACCATAAAAACCCTAGAAGAAAACCAAGGCAATACCATTCAGGACATAGGCATAGGCAAGGGCTTCATGACTAAAACACCAAAAGCAAAGCCAAAATATACTAATGGGATTTAATTAAAGTTAAGAGCATCTGCACAGAAAAAGAAGCTGTCATTAGAATGAGCCATCAACCAACAGAATGGTAAAAAATTTTTGCAATCTTTCCATCTCATAAAGGGCTAATATGTAGCCTCTACAAGAAACTTAAATTTACAAGAAAAAAGCAAACAACCCTATCAATAATCGGGCAAAGGACATGGACAGAGACTTCTCAAAAGAAGACATTTATGCAGCCAACAGACATGGAAAAAAAAGCTTATCATCACTGGTCATTAGAGAAATGCAAATCAAAACCACACTGAGATACCATCTGATGCCAGTTAGAATAGCAATCATTAAAAAATCAGAGAACAGTTGCTGGAGAGGATGTGGAGAAATAGGAATGCTTCTACACTGTTGGTGAGAGTGTAAATTAGGTCAACCATTATGGAAGACAGACCCCCTCAAGGGTCTGGAAATAGAAGTATCATTTGACCCAGCAGTCCCATTACTGGGTATATACCCAGAGGATTAGAAATTATTCTACTATAAAGACAAAAGCACATGTATATTTATTGCAGCACTATATTTATAATAACAAAAACTTGGAACCAACCCAAATACCCATCAGTGATAGACTGGATAAAGAAAATGTGGCACATATAAGCCATGGAATACTATGCAGCCATCAAAAAGGATGAGTTCGTGTCCTTTGCAGGGATATGGATGAAGCTGGAAACCATCATTCTCAGCAAACTGACACAAGAACACCACATGTTCTCACTCATAAGTGGGTGTTAATAATTAGGACACGTGGATACAGGGAGGGGAACATCACACACTGGGGCCTGTTGGGGGATGGGGAGCTACAGGATGGATAGCAGGGTGTGGGTTGATAGGGGAGGGATAGCATTAGGAGAAATAACTAATGTAGATGACAGGGTGATGGATGCAGTAAGCCACCATGGCACATGTATAACTATGTATCAAATCTGCACATTCTGCACATGTACCCCAGAACTTAAAGTATAATATTAAAGACATTGATTGAATATTGATATCTGCTGGATGGTGCTTTCTTTTTGTCAAGAAAATTGGCAAGGCACTATCTTATCGAATATTTTAGTTTTTGAAGAAATTTCAGGCTTTAAGTCTTTAACCCTTATAAATTATTTCATTATAAATTTTCATTTGAAATATATCACAGCAAGAACATATCGTACCATGAGAGGGAGACATAGGACTTATATATTTAATCAGTTTACTTTGGGAAATATTGATATATGCAACAGCTCAAAGTACAAGCCAAAACCAAAAAAACAAAATTTACTCAGAAGTTTTAGCATATATTGTCACCATAATACTTTATTCCTATGTAGTTATTCCTGTTTAGAAGCTACCACTTTGTGAGAAAGCTTTATTGATCTCGGAGCTGGTATAGCTGTGTATTTCTACAGATGTGACCAATGGTCAGCAAGAATTTACTTGATTCTCCTTCTTTAGCCAGAAGAAATTATTTTTAATGTAACCCAAAGAGCTAATAAGATAGCTTAACGATGTTAGTGATTTCATGTCCCTTTTAGTTGTTTTGTTGTTCTGAAATCGAGGCCCAAACACCAATCCTAAGAGTTCTAAAAGGTTGCATGTTGCTAACATATTTCAAGTAAAATAAGTAGTACTTTTTTTTCAAACTGCTATTAGAATCAAATGGCCTTTTGAGACCATGTGTGAATCTCTTTTCCAGAACCTCTTATAATGATTTGGAGGTGGAGCGAGAAGTCTGAAAAGTTTCCTTAATTTTTTAAAAAATGATTGATTTTTTTCATGTGACTCCATATTTTTATTGTACTCCTTTTTTGCCTATAAGCTCTTCCCATCTATCAGTAGGCAAATTACCATAAGGTTAATGTATTCCTTTTTTCATATTTTTCTCAGAATCTCTCTCCCTTTGCCCCTCCACACAAAGGTACATTCTGGCCCTAATGAAACCCAGGTTATGAACAGGACTCTGCAATGCCAAAGTGCTCACACTTAGAAATGGGAGACCTTTGTGTTGTACCCTTTCTCTAACTCAGGGAGAATAGGTCATACGTCCAGCTGGGGCCTCCGAACAAGGGACATAAGGAAAAGGAGTCAGAGCAAAAAGGACAAGCTCTAATAAAGTCCTCTCCTCCTAAGTCCTAGAGCCTGACACATATAGAAAGAAGACATTTTCTTATTTTAAGACATAGATTTTATGAAAAAGTAATTCGCACATGAAGAGATATTAATATTCAAGGTGAAACCATTAACATACTTCTCAGGCATTCACAACATAATTAGATGAACTATCTTATATGAAGTATTCAGACACATGATACTGTATAATAGACTTGCACATGTCAAGCACATAGGAGTCATTTCACAATTTGGGAAGTGGACATAGTGTTACAGCTCAAAGTTGGTAATTTTAGTCCTCTCTTGCCAGCTGACACTCTCTTTTTTTCTTTTTTCAAACTTTAGAAAAAAGACTTTTCAATTTTTTGGAAGTTATATAGAGGTTTCTTTCTTAGCAATATAGTATTACCCAATAGTGCACTGTAATTTTAAGTGATTCTATTACATAAATGCCACAATTGACAGTTCTTTGCATTTATTATTAGGGCATGGATCAGGGTTTCCATGTTGCACATCTGCAGGGATGCTACTCTATGCACTGGTTCTGTTATCGCAGAGACATAGGATTATGTCTTTATTTCATAAGGTATACCCCTATGCACAAATTAGCATTTTTATGAGCTTAATATTTGGATTATCTGATATTCAATTCTTGTAACTTGGAATCAATAAAAATTTAAAGTAATAAAAACGTGTACACAGGCAAAATCAAGTATTTAACACTGTTATCAAGTGTTTTATGAGTTATTACTTTACTATTTTTTAAACAAAGTGTTATCAATTCAATGAAATTACATTTTACAAGTGTTATTTAGTATCCTTTAAACGTAGAGAACTGTCAATTCAATAAAATTAAATGTGAGAACCATGAATTATTCCTAAGAAATCTAGCATACTTTACCCAAAGTTGTGCATTCAAATAACAAATAATCTGAGACTATTTAATGATAAACATGAAACTACTGCATTCAAACTGGATAATTTTTTAAAAATTAAGATGGTATTTTGATTATTCTTTGGAGAATACCTTTTTAAGATTTGTTTTGTTTTTACGACTGTTTAGTATTTATTTTGATTTCACATTTTAAACAATGTTAGAGAGCACCCTCTGAGAAAGTCATAAATACCATAAAATAAAATTACAGATGCCTCCATGCATCCTAAAAATCTGAATACGAGGTTAAATAAATTCTCTTTGCCCATTCTAAAGTCAGATATATGTTCCTACTTGGAGAAAAAACACCCTCTGTGGTCTGAAGGCTTCTGGTGGAAATATTAAAATGATGATCATCACAAGGACATTGTAGATAAAGAGCTACTTATTTTAGTGAATTCATTCTAATGTTCGTATTTTTAATGCAAAAGTTCATGTGGATTACTCCCGTTGGTGTCAGATTGCACTTAAATCTTTTTACATTCATAAAAATTTTTTAAGTTTTCCCTCCTTTTTAACGTTTATATTCATGTATTAGTTTATTTTCTTTTGATTTTTGCAGATGAGCCATGTTTGGGAGACAAGTCCATATTCTGTCAGATGGAGGTGTTGGCACGATACTGCTCCATACCAGGTTATAACAAGTTATGTTGTGAGTCCTGTAGCAAGCGCAGTAGCACCCTGCCACCACCATACCTCCTAGAAGCTGCTGAAACTCATGATGCCATCTCCAACCCTAGTGACCTCCCTCGATCTCTAGTGATGCCTACATCTTTGGTTCCTTATCATTCAGAGACTCCTGCAGAGAAGAAATCTTTGAGTAGCATTTCTTCAGTGGGAGCTCCAAATGCATATGCTGCTTTCAGGCCAAACAGTAAACCTGATGGTGCTAATTTACCCCAGAGGAGTGCTCAGCAAGCAGGAAGTAAGACTGTGAGACTGGTCTCCATATTATCCTCCCCACAAACCAAGAGGGGCCACCTCAATTCATCATCACAAATGGCTGCTGCTTCCTACCTTGCAGCCAATGGTTCAATAGGTGCTTCTTCTCAGGCAAGAACCTCAAAGAAAGATGGAAAGATTATTGACAGTGGACGTCCGACAAGATCATCCAACTTAGGAAGATGAGAAAGTGAACCAAAAAGGTTAGAAACCAGAGGAAAACCTGGACAACCTCCCTCTCCCCATGGTGCATATGCTTGTTTAAAGTGGAAATCTCTATAGATCGTCAGCCCATTTTATCTGTAAATGGAAGAACAGAAAGTGCTGGCTCACTTTCTAGTTGCTTTCATCCTCTTTGTTCTGCATTGACTCATTTACCAGAATTCATTGGAAGAAAGCACCAAAGATTATTACAGAAGAAAAATATGTTGCTAAGTTTGTGTTGGTCACTCTCTGAAGCAGAAAAGGGACTGGAACCAATTGTGCATATCAGCTGACTTTAAAGTTTTAGAAAAATTACAGCAAAAATAAAAGAGATCCAATGGTTTACACTTTAACAAGAAATTTTGGATATGAAGCAAAGAATTCTTAGACTTGTATTCCTATTTATCTATATTAGAAATATTGTATGAGCAAATATGAAGCTGTTGTGTAAATACTGTATATTGCAGAAATCAGTATTATTTTAAGAGAGGTGTTCTCAAACGATTGTTTACTATATTACATTTCTGGATGTTCTAGGTGCCTGTCATTGAGTATTGCCTTGTTTGACATTCCATAGGTTGATTTTCAAAACGGAATTATTACAAAAGATAAAAGTTAGAATTACTTACAGCTACTGACAATATAAAGGGTTTTGATCAATCAACAACGTGATATGTAAATTATAGAAAAAGAAAAAAAAACCAAAAGCTATAGATATACAGATCTCAGCTTATCTATTGCCTTCTATACTTATAATTTAAAGGAGTGGTGTTTTAAGACACTTGTGGTCACAGGGATCAAAGAATAGTAAATGAACCTATGTGAGATAAAACTGAAATCTTCTTACCAAGACCTCAGTAGGCACCATTGAGGTGTCCTTTGTTTTTGTGTGTGCGTGTTTTTTTTTTTTTTAATTTTCCCATTGTTGACAGATACAAACAGTTATACTCAATGTACTGTAATAATCACAAAGAAACAAGTTTTGGGATAACTTATTTGTATGATGGTAGCTGAGAAAAGTATCATCAGTCTAGAATTGCCATTTGAGTATAGTAGAGGTGTGGGGCTTTGAAGACACATTCAAGAATGCATTTGTTGATGGTTAAGATATTTATTTTCCAGTGGTTCATGTTCAAATGTTCACAACCACAATGCATCTGACTGCAATATTGTGCTAATAATTTATGTCAATGGTCACCTTACTCACAGCAAAGCCAGAAATGCTCTCTCCAGGGCATAGATGTAAAGTACTTGTATATAGAATTCAGAACCGAAGATATTTATTAAAAGTTGATTTTTTTCTTGATAGTATTTTTATGTACTAAATATTTACACTAATAACAATTACATATTTTGGTAAACTAGAGAGACATAATTAGAGATGCATGCTTTGTTCTGTGCATAGAGAAGACCATTAAGCAAACTACTGCAGCCAACTCAAAAGCTAAAACTGAACAAATTTGATGTTAGGCAAACATCTTGTATTTTTAGTAGTTGATATTATGTTGATGACTTGTTCCCCTTCAAGGAAACATTAAATTGTATGGACTCAGCTAGCTGTTCAATGAAATTGTGAATTAGAAACATTTATAAACATTTTTGAAAGAGATAAATGCTTTATGAACTACACATAAATGAGAGGAGATAGATAAGTGTTATCAGCATAACGATTTTGAGGTCAGTACCTGAGCTGTCTAAAGATATTATGCAAACTAAAATGTAGATATATTAACCTCTCAAAGGATAGAATGTGCAAGAACTTTTGCATTTTAATCATTGTAAACTAACAGCTTAACATGTTGACTCTATACCTCTAAAGAATTGCTGCTACTTGGTGCAAGAATTTTGAAAGTCAAATTAGTCGAATTCCAGATAGTAAAACAATCCCTGAGCCTTAAGTCTCTTTTATTTAATTCCCATAGAATAAAATCTCTCCAGTTTACTTGTGTGTGCATACATCTCATCCACAGGGGAAGATACAGATGGTGACACAGTTTCCAAAAAGATGTACATATTCATTATACTTCTGACCTTTGAGCTTTCTTTTCTACTAAGCTAAAAATTCTTTTTATCAAAGTGTACACTACTGATGCTGTTCGTTGTATTGGGAGCACGTAGCAATAAAAATATTAATAAAATATAGATCTGGCTCTATCTAGATTTTATCATTAGATTCATCATGGGGTAACGGAAATGTGTTATTTCCTACTACACAGTGAAATAGCATCAAATGTATTTTCTACTTGTACTTGCTTGAAAGACTCTAGTGACTGTCTCCTTTTTTCATATCAGGGTATATTACAATATTTTTAAAAGAATAAAACATTATTAAAAAGTAAAAAAATAAAAATAGGCTACAGGAGGTGGCTTTTGGTTAAATCTGTCTCAGAACTATGAAGAAGATGAGGAAAAATGGCAATCATGCTGAACAAAATGGGGTGCTTCTGTTTTTAAAATCTGTAACCTCTGAGTGATTTGTAAATAAAAGTGTTCCATCAATTTTGGATCTTCATTACCTGAGAATTGGCAGGAACACATTACTCAAGACTCAGGAGTTTGGGAAGGACGAAGCCTCACAGTGGAAGGCCTTTTGCTATGTCAAAGGGAGATACTATAGTACAGTAGTTACAGTTTGAGCTGCAGAGGCAGACAGACTCAGGGTTGTCTTCATACCTGAATGGCCTAGGGTAACCTCAGTAAGTTTTCGTTTCCTCATCTGTCAGTGGGAGGTGAAACTGTCATACATTACTGTGTGATTGCCATGAGAAATGAGATGATAGTAATAAAGCTGTTTTCATATGGCCTAATATATGATAGCTCACAGTAAATATTTATATTAATTCGTATTTATTTATATTAGTATTTATATTTATATTAGTATTTATATTAATTCATTGTCCTTGTCCTCATCATGATCATCTTCATTATATAACTGAATCACAGCATTCCACTAGGTCCACAGCTAGTTTAAATTATGGTCATTATGTCTTATTAATGGCGTAAACAAACAACAGGGATCCAGGAATTTAAAGACAAACAAACAATTTAGCTTTAAAAATGGGTAGGATGAACTTAGAAATGATTTCCAATCACTGATTTTGAAGAATTTTCACTAATTATGTCCATTCTCTCTTTGCAAGCAATACATAATAAAACTAAGGTAATTAACATTAATTATGTATTTCTGAAAAGGTGATCAATGGTGCAATAATGGATAATGTCCCAAACTATTAACAAATAAAATGTGTTTCTCGTATATTTACATTAATAGGCCTTGTAGAAATATTAAACAACAAAAGTCATTATACATATCTTGCTTTCTCTTCATGAAGAACTTAAGGGATATAAAAGAAAAAAATCATTGAAAAGTGATGAAAACATGAATAAACCAAAGAAGACATCACTTGTTGATTAAGTATTAAAGAAAAAAGGACCCTTAAAACTGCTTAAATGGCCAGACACAGTGGCTCATGCCTATAATCCCAGCACTTTGGGAGGCTGAGATGGGCAGATCACCAAGTTCAAGACCAGCCTGGCCAACATGGTAAAACCCTATCTCTACAAAAATTCAAAAATTAGCTGGGCATTATGGCAGGTGCCTGTGTTCCCAGCTACTCAGGAAGCTGAGATGGGAGAATCGCTTGAACCCAGGAGGTGGAGGTTACAGTTAGCCGAGATCCTGACATTGCATTCCAGCCTGTGTGACAGAGCAAAACTCCATCTCAAAAATAAACAAACTGCTTGAAATGCAGTAACATATAGAAACCACCTTAGAGTGCAGATATTATCTCAACACATCAACTAATATTAGAAATACTCACTTTGGGCCCAGATATGTTGAGATAGTTCATGCACAGCTAGAGACAAAATTTTAAAATTCACTACAATACTACCTACTGAAAAAAAAAGCATAATAAAATAAATCTGGCATAAAAATATAAATTCTAAAAGAAAACAAGGTGCTATAAGTTCTGCAAAATTGTCATTAAGTTTACCTAAAAATTAGAATTACTTTTTCAACTCTCTTCTTCCCTGGTAAATTGGCAGGTGCCTAAATGTTGATCATCTACTTTGTGGCAACAAACTAATGTTACTGCATTAAAACTGTTGCTTGGAAAGGCTGTTTTGCAGCCAATTCATAGTTTCAAGGAAACTGTTGATTTGCTTTCAACCACTGGATTGTTAACAATTAACCTGGGACTGAGCAGTGTTGGTTTTGTTCATTTGTTTAATCTACCCCAAACCCCAAATTAGCCTGTCATGGAAGAGAATGATTATTCACAGCTCAGTGTTATGCACATATCACCAATCTTACTATCCTGTCGATTTGAAACTTAAAGCTCTTCTACAATCTGCTATTGAATAAACAAATGGTACAAAAATTACAAATACATTTACACAAAGAACAACTCTTTCAGATGAGACATTTGGAGACTTACACAAGAAGATACTCCACCAGTAATTCAAGGTAAAAACAAACTTCTCATGGTGGAAGATATAGAACCAGTAGGTCTGCTTTCTATTCCTGTAATAAAATGACAATCCTAAACTTTTTAAGAAGTTATGATACTCTGGTTAAGAGCATGAGCACCAAAATCAGACTGCTGGTTTACTTCCTGGTTTTAAAGTTAACTAATGGTGACTTGGAGGAGTTACTTAATGTGACTAAGCTTCACTTGTTTTATATGCAAAATGAGGATAACAGTACATACTTCATAAAGCCGTTTGAGCAAAAAAAAAAAAAAAATTGAGAATCCTGGAAAAACAATAAATACAGTACCTCATGGTCTAGACATTAAGTGTTCGGTAAAAGTTTGCAATTGTTATTTTCTCCAGAATATTTATTTTTAAACATTTTATCTTTTGATGGATAATCAACAAACTTCAAAAGATTCAATTAGAATATTTTAAGCCAAGGTAACGATTTCCACAAAGTCCCTTCTGCCCAAAAGTATCCCATGTGCCCAAAATAATGCGGAACACAAGAATAGAAGCAGAGTTATATGAACTATATATACAATGTAACAGGTTTTTCATAATAGGCACAACCTGGCAAATGACTCCAAAGATTAAGCCAACTATTTTTTCTATGGTGGCATCACGAACTACAAGATTGTCCTCAGACTTGCTGCAACCAAGTCAATCCTCTTCTCTTGATGACAGACTTTTTCTGGGACCTGGAGAAGGGACTCTGGGTCTTATACACCCAGGGAAGAAGGGCTCATATACCCTTTAATTGTAATTGAACAATATACATTTCGTCCCTGGACAAAGAAAATCTATTTCTTCTGTATTCTTCATTAGTACCTAGAACTGTGCCCTGCCCATTGTACAAACTGTGTAACTATAATTCTTACAACATTCTGTAAAAACTCTGCTGCTAAAAACAGATTTCTTGGAGTTATGATTGTGATATCCCTTCTGTTTTCAGGCTTTTTCTGTCTTAGTTAACTTATTTGACAAGAGCAGTTACTAGCTAGTGTTGACCCAGAAAAGATCTTTAGATATTATCTAGCCTAGCACTCTTCCTTTTGCAGGAATAGGGTTAGGACCAAAAGGTGATGTATCCAAAGTCTCATTTGTGAATTTGTATACAACTGGAATTAGAAGTGAGATTAGTATTCCAACTTTCAGTTCATTTTTTCTCCCATATAGAGGATGCATCTATTCTGTAAAAATAAGAGACTCCGATGAAAGGGAAGTCAGTTATCCCAAGATCAGCAAGTATCTGTGTGATCATCCTAAACAAGAGAGCTGAAGTATGCATACTGACAGAGAAAATGTGAAGGTCCATGAGTGAAGTACTTTGCACTTCCAAATGAACCTACTGCAACCACCATATTACCCAGGAATGTATGCAGCTATATGCTAGGGACATCTTCATTTGTATATATTGGCAACTGGGATGCGTTACATTTCTCTAGCCTTTTCAGAAGACCTGTCCAAAATAATGGAATGTATTAAATAATATTCTGGTTTTGGTTGGAGGCGGGTGTGGCAACCCTTACTTTTATATCTCGGATGTCACGTGGTGTGTGGAGATAGCAACACAGCCTCTAGTGGAATGCTTCAGTGAATTTCCACAACGTTGCTAACATGGAGCTCCAGGTATCAGAAGCAGCAGCCACTCCGATTCCATTTGCTTTTGCTCTGGATTTCCATGCCCATTAGAAATGCTCTTGAATGATGTGAATGATCTGGACAAATAGTTTCTTTAGCTATATGGCCAGGTCTATTATTTTCTTCCTTTCCTATTTGTCCTCCTGTCTTGAATCTTTAGTGTTTTCTTACACAGATTTATTAAACATACAAGCAGGTGCAGGTCTGCCTCATCATACAAGGAAGGCTCAAACTTTTGCTCGACTCTGCTTCTGCTTCATGACCCACTTTCTGATCTCCTTTCTTCATCACCAAACTTCTCAAGGCACTGACTAACTTTCTCTTCCTCTTCTCTTTCCCACCCTTACCAGCATTCACTCTGGGGCCCACTGCAGCCTGCATTCTGCCCCAAGCACACAACAGAAGCAGCACTCTCAAAAGGATAACTGCTCCTTGTCACTCGGAAAATTCATGGATTCAACAACATTTTATTGTGTGCTGATTGTGTGCCAGGCGGCATTCTAGGTGCTTAGAATACAGTAGTGAGAAAATAATGAAAATTCCTGCTCTCCTCTTGGAGCGTATATTGTAGTGGAGGAAACACAGCAAACAATCATCACACATGGCCTTGTTACAAGTATGTTAAAGAGTGATCAGGAAGAGTATAGTGCAGTGCTGAGTAGAATAGTGGTAGAAATGCTTTAGAGAGTGAAAACAGGAAAACCTTGAAGTAAGAAAATTATCTCTACAATCTCTGGGGAAGAACATTCCAGGAGAAAAGGAGCATCCAGTGCAAAGGTCCTAAAGTAGAATATGTCTGGCAAGTGCAAGGAACAGCAACAAGGACAGTGAAGTGGAGATGAGTGTTTGATGGGGTGAATAAGAGAACACAAAAGAGAAGCAAGAGGTGAGAAATCACACAGAATCTCGTGGCCTTTATTTGTCTCAGATTCTCTTCAGCTTCACATGGCCTTGGTGAAAAGAACCCAGGATTTGGTCTCATGCAACTTGGATTTAAATCCTGCCTTCCTTTCATGAACTGTAGGACTTTTCTCTTTAGTACGTAGTTTCCTCATCTACAAAATTGAATGAAAGATTGATCTGACAGACTTCTAGTGTGAGTCAAATGAGCTCATGCACCTGAAAATGTATTTTTAAGGATACTATTACAATTGTTTTTTTAAATAAATATTTTTATATTATAGATTTTGCCGTTGTACAGTATTATGTAATTTATGTCAGATGGGACTT